TTCATGCTTACATTTTCGTTACATAGTAGAGTGATTTGTGATCGATTTATCTATCTATCTATCTATCCGTGTATAAATTTATCTGTCTCTTTCTGTGTATCTTGCTATTTACTTACCTACCTATCTATGTTTTCAATCAATCAATGGTTGGGTGGTACAGCACAGAATTATCACCCCGGGGATGTGTGTTCGAAACCAACCACCACCACCTGACCTTGTCCATTGTGTGTGTTGAATAGCAGCCCATAGATTGACCGCTTCCCCCTTGTTGAAAGTAGAATCTTGTATATTCAATAAAAGGAAGGAAAAGGAGAAAAGAGAAGAACGAAGAATCAGTCAACCAAACAGTCAATCAATCAAGTAATCATTCAACCATTCTATCCATGCACCCGTCTATCTAAATTTCTAAATATATGTTCAAATCTGCCAAACAACAATTTGAGCAATTAACCTTGTCTTAGAAGCTCGTTCGGTGGAGTCCGGTGAATTCCAAGGAAGACCTGTCGAGGCAGTCAGCTTACATGCTAACTGGTGGATGCCACATGCCCCTGTAAGTTGGATGGGTAAATTCGAATGTGAAAAAGATCAGTGCTATCGGTGCGGCCTCGTAGCTCAGCTGGTGGAGCATGCGCGTACAAAGCGTAGGCGGTGTCCATGCGTGGGTTCGAATCCCACCGAGGCTACTGAACTTTTCACAATCGACATACAAACTTCAAATCTGCCAACCAACTATTTGGACGATTCTCATCGGTTTATTGGACATTAATAAAAGCGTGCATGCCCAGTAGCCAAATCTATGGCTTGCTTGAGAGAGACAGAGAGGGAAAAAAACATTCAAGCTCGAACCAACTTATTGATCCTATGTTTAAAGTAAAGGTTGATATGAGATGAAGTAAAGAGGAAGAGAGTGTCTTGTAGAGGTTTTTGTTCCTGGGAATGTACTTAGAATGGATAACTACCATCCATCTGTAGACGGGGTCTGGGAACAAGAACAAGTTGAATGTGGGGTGAAGATGTCATTTCGACCGAACAAAAATTAAATTAGTATCGGTTAAAGGATCATAAGGAAGCAACATTGATCCAGAAACTGCATACAACCTGTTGGTTTCAGTGAATTTCAGAAAATACTTTATGATATACGACAATTACATTCTGGTTTAATTAATCATGATGAAGAAACTTTGAAATAAACGAAGGTTTCACTTGTGTTAAATTGGCTTAGCTCTTTCCTTCCGAACGCTTAAACATCTGATTGTTCTTATTACTATCTCTGTTCCCTTCCTTCTTTCCTCCCTTCAGCTATCGGTTCGGCGTGCCTTCAGCTCCATAGATCCGCAGCGCAATCCAGATATGATTCGAACGTTTCATTACGTATGTGATAACCGTCGCGTCTTGTGCTATCCACCGGGAACTTCAAAACTTATCACTTGAATTCTCTAACTAATTCGTGCACTGCTTGTAAAATAAAAACTGATCCAGTCTGCCATACGTGAAGCTCATTGCCTGTTTACCCCCTTCCCCATCTGTGCTTGTGATGAAGTAACGCAAAATATTTTCCAGTATGTTTCAGGACGACGAACTGCACGAAATCTATCTGATACTATAATTGGTATGTAGGAAAGGTAACACCCGATGACAGCTTCTGGAGAAAGTGTCTCATCCCTAGAGGGTAGATCGAACTCCAACTCAACTACTGAGTCACCGAAATGTTCTTTACTGACTGAAGCTCGTCTCAGTCCTTGACATCCTTTCAAACTAACCACATCTAAAGCTATATGGATGATGTCGTGTCGACATACGCTCCCACGAATTCCAACCCAGATAAAACAAACCTTTGCATTCAGTCAGTTGGGATGGTGTCGTGATTGCAGTAGAAGACACAACTGTAAGAGTAAGTCGGTACATCCAATGAGCCTTTCCTGACCCTCGGAAAAACAGCTGTTGACTGCGTGCTCGCCAATCTTTGCTTACTACTCTCTAATTGCCGGTAAGTTACTTCTCGTCCGCCTTCCTCGAACCAGCAAGAAACCTCAATCGATCACATCCTTATAGATCACAAATAGAGGGTTCGTGCGCAAGATGTCCAGTCGTACTGGAGGAACTTTCGAATCTGATCGCTCACCAGTCCGAACTAAGCCATCCGTATGTTTCGGCTGGTGTCTAGATGGGTAACACAGCCTCAGTTAGACTACAATAAGCTGTTTCAAACCGCTTGCTTAAGTGTCTTTCAAAACATTTGATACAAAGCTAGATTCAACCCCCTTGCTGAAATTGATTAACAAGTCTTGCTTATCAACGACGCTCTGCATTCTGATGTCTTAGTTATTTGGGGCTTGACACGACAGCGAGCTTAAAGATACACCACCGGTGACGCACGTGAATAAATACAGCGTAAAGTTTGCAAGGATCGCGAAATCTGACAGATTCATGGTTCATCAGAGACTGGATTTGCTACCGCCATGGGGAATTCTGGAAAGCTGTTTCATTTAATCCAGATCTCCGATAGGAAAGCAATAGGTGTGCGCGAAAAGAACTGCTCTCTGTATTCATAATCAGCAGTTTCAGCCTATGTTACGACGAAGCTCACAGAAACTTTCAGGCCGCGTACGGGTCCGGGAAAGACACGCTCGTCATGCTCAAGGCAATTCCAGTATGGATTTGATGGCTGTTGGAGGAATTAGGCAGCGGTTGCCCGATCGACCAATCGGATTACTGCTTCACGGTTTCCATCTTGCGTGTCCAATTTACCCTTTATGCTTACTGAGCGCACCTTGATCGTAGAATAGACTCTGACAGTTGTTTCTAGTCGAGTTCTCTGTTCCATGTTGTTGTTGGGGTTCAAAAAAGAGGTGTTCGTGTAGATTGTAGGTCTAGGCCAACCATAACGGTTCAAAAAACGATTAACCGTGTACTTTTTAGCGGTGGTTTTCGTTGCGCATTTAGATGAGTGAGTCGAGGGAATATTAGAAAACTGAAAGCAATTTCAACATGACAATGGAGGAACCATGTAATTTACGAGCGCAAGAGCGTTAAGAAGATGCACGAGGACCACTGTACACGACACTTAGTGTTTCCTATCTGAGCTCATTTCCTTTTCCTGGATTTCACAATCACTCGAGACGGTTAATGCATTCATTCTGTCTTCCGTTCCGTTATCTTTTTATTTTACTTCCTTTTTATTGAATATGCAATGGTACAATTTTCAGGGAAGGGGAAGCGGCCAATCAAAGGACTGCCCTTCAACACACAATGAGGATTCAGGCGGTGGTGGTGGTGGGATTCGAACACACATCCCCGGGGTGACGTTACCACCGGGCCACCTTCACATTTCGGACTTAATTCACCCAACCATGAAGCCCATAACCTGTTTTGGTGTAGCTGACACCTATTCGCCACATAAAGTGATTCATTTTCATATAATTAATTAGCACTTACCCGGGACATTTCGACCTAAAACTCAGCGCCTGTTTCCACGAGTGATTCTGCTTTAATTCTCATACAATCCGCAGCATAATCTCGTCTCGTTCACAGTATACTTGTAAAAACCAACCAAGTCGCTTTTCGTCTTCACAACCTTTCCCGAAGAAACACTCTTCTTTGTAAGCGTTATTTCTTCGTGGTTTACCTCTCGTCCGTCTTAACCTAATGCAACTTAATCGGCCCCGAAAACCTAGGTACGGTCGAGATGAGTGTCTTGACTTGTGGGAGATCATCTTTCCCTTACATCTCGAGAAATGCTCCCATGCAACCAAGCGTTTCAACTAGCCTCTACTGATGCCCTACAAACTGCCTCCCCGTGGCGGTGTTTTGCCACCAAAATGAGAGAAAGAAAGGCCGACATCCGGGTTGATGAACCATTGGCAGTTCACCTACGGGAGTAGGCTAAAAACCTTGATTCCAAACAAACCAAAAAACGGCTTAAGAATCCCACCCCTTGGTTGTGGCAGTGGTCACCGATATTTAAGTGCATTGAGCACCTTGGATATTTGATCCGGTCCGACGGACATATGACCCGACCAACTGGACGCCGGCCCCCAAGAGACTGTGGTTTTTGGACATTGCCCCGGTGCCCCGCAGGTTTATTAAAAACTGGTTGTGATTTCCCTAAGAAAATCCACCCGCCCAGGCTTAGGCAACCTGGTAGAATTCCGGCCACAAATTATTAATGGAACTTTTTAGTGAACGTATCACGGGCACAGCTGAAGCACAGAATCGCACTAGCAATTGTACCCTAGAATCTTCTCCTACCGAGATGCATGTAAAAGGCCCCGGAAGTAACGGTTTCTTTATTGAGGAAAATCATTGAGAATAAATAAAATTTACAGGTCTTCACTCATGGCCTACTTGTATTCTCGACGTCATACATTTTTCTGGACATCAGGACTTTTGACTTGTCGGCAAGATTCGCCTGTGGTTCTTATTCCCGTCGCCTTGCAGGTTAGACTAGTGAGTCCAAGGCTCCCGTTAGGGTTCACCGAGAAAAACTCCTGCGTCGGTGTGGGCTGCCGCGAAGGATTTCATCCTTTACAGTTTTAAGCACCTGTTTAGAAAAGCCTTTTCCATCTGTCTAGTTGTCCCTCTCAATCCCGAATAATCCTAGATGCCTCCTGTTTACCAGTAAGGCCAAACAATCAGACTTCATAGGATGTTTGAAGCCAAAAGTCCCTTTCCACTCGAGCTCGTTGAACGTCCGCACACTACCAGATCGGTCGACAAGCTGTCTTGGATAAAACCCTTGCAATTTTCAATTTAGACATATACTGCATCTCCAAAACACGCACACAAGACCATACTTAATCTCCCTGCGTTCTCCTGACCAAACGTGATCCTCACCCTTCACTCTCCGTGGGTCAGGCAATTAGGCATCCGACGCTCGTGTTGCTGCTGGTATTTGGATTTCACTAAGTGCATTCGCTTCTTGACTGGATTCCAGACAGTATCTGAGTGTGCGCTGTGCGTTTCAACCGTTTATTACGAGTCAGAAGCTACAGAGCGAAGCGTCGATGCTTATTCGTCGTATCGCACCGGCCGATTGAAATGAAGGACGATTTCTAAAAGGATGTTTTTCAATCACTCTAGTGTCAACTCAAGAATGCCGTTCTCATTGGTCAATAACTGTGGATATGGACCACATTTTGTGACGAGCCCTATTCTTCTTAACCCCTGGCAAACAACTGCAATAAAGCCACAGGCAACCGAGNAACCGAGACGCACGATACAATATTACCAATGATTACTAAACAACCTTTGAAGCAGAACTCTTCTATCGTCTATCACTTCAACTATCAATCGAAGGACTCAACGAATACTGGAAGCCATGCAAATATCGATAAAAACAACGGCGGACTCTGGCACAAGCTCAAATCATAAACGATGTATCATCTCGTCGGCCTCCCACCGAACTGTTCCTACTCATGTCACATATGACAGCGCGCAACTCCCTCAATTTCCAGCACATCAAGACTCTGGGGAAGTGGTGGGCAGAAAAGTGTAAACAGATGGATAAATCTGTTGCTTCTGATGATATTTACACTCTTTTCCATCTAATTTCGGAATAAGTGCCCCAGGAAAATAGGCTTAAGTGTGATAATTGAGGAGTCCGATGGTAAAACAATTTGTCATCAGCAACACTGGCTTGATCGATACGCTGAACATTTGCAGGCTCAGTTCAACTGGACCCCATCGATGTCTGACCTATCATCCTCCCACCTTGACTGAGCGAATTATCCAGGTTCATGCCATTTATACTTTAGAAATGGAAGTTTCCCGGAAAATAAGTTATCTCAAGTCACAAGGTCTCAGGTCCAGATGAGCTGTTCCCATTGGCTTTTAAGTATGGAATTTCAGAGTTTGTATTGGAATTACCGAAACTCCTGGGGTCAATAAAGGAGAGGGAACAGGTTGTAGCTGAATGATGTGAATCGGTCATCATACCGATTTACAGGAAAGTTGACTCAGTTGAGCGATCGAAACTCTGGCGCTGTCTTCCCTGAAGCTTATTTCAATATGTTGATCCACTTATACTAATAGCCTAAGCCCGAGCTTACGGCGTTTTACGTCCGAGTTAACCGCAGATTACGGTGTTCTTCCGGATTACCCTCTCCTATCCTATTTAACTTTGTCATAGGTTTGGTTATGGAGACAGCCCTGTCTTCGTGCGCGGATAGTGGCATCAATTTGCTTGCGGGTGGTACATTGTCTGATCTGGAGCATGTAGACAAAACTGTACTCCTTAGTCAATATGCAACTTACCCTGTTAGCTTTTCTGGCTAGTTCGAGTGCCCGCTAGCAATGTTTACTGTGTTTTGCACAAATAATGCTGTGGTTAGGCTTACTGTTTTAAGTAACCACGGTCGCCGACTGGAGAAAGTGGTCGATGTTGTTTGAGGCATGTCATCAAATAGGTTGCGACGGTGGACGATGTCTGCCGA